CAGCAAACAGGGGGACCCACTGGGTGGGAGGCAGAAAAGGCCCCTCAGGCTGCCGTGACTCCAGCAACCTGGGGGGGGTGGGTGCCGGTGAGAAAGGCCAACCATGCAGAGAACACTGGTTCCAAGTATCTCTGAGACAACAGATATCCTAAGCTGGGAAAGGGGTACATTTTGACTCTGTCCTTGTATCATCTCTGAGCAGCTCCAGGGCCCCTCCTTGGTGCATGGGGAGTTCTGACAAACTGGATCATGCTGACAGATAAGGATCACAGTCGGAGCTGGGCTTTAGGCCAGTGCCACCTGTGCCACCACGCGGGGCCCCACACTTGGCTTACTGCTCCGTTGTCACTGCCTGGCAATTCTGCATAATTTCATAACCTGCATTTCCTAACCTTCATAACCTGCATTTTTCGTGTTGCACAGAGCTCCACAGATTGCGTCGCCAGTCCTGACTACAGTTTGGTAACCTTTGCCAAGCCTACCTGGAAGAGGGCGATGCTCCGCCCCACACCTCCTGCAGAGACAGCCTGGGGAGGGGAGAGACTTCAGCTGTGGGGTGGGGAGCGTGCCTTTGGAGTCCCTGACATCCAGTCCGGTAGATGAAAGCCTACCGCTTTCCAGGGGCAGGACCAGCCCCACAAAGAACGTGGAGACCAAGGGCAAACCACCCCCAGGAGACAGCCACAAAGGACAGTAAGGTCCCGGTGACACTGACTATCGGACAAGGCCTGTGCCCCCGGCCCTGGCAGGCTGCAGGCTGAGGGGCTGTGTCACCTCCAGCTCCCCAGCCCGAGATGGTCCCGGTTCTGAGAGCCCCACACAGCACCAGCTGCCCTGCCAAGGTGCCAGGGTCATCCGGCAGTCCCCGGCGCCTGGTGTCTTCTTACACCCTATGACTCAACTGGGGCATCTTAGATGTCTGAGAGGGCGGGGGGAGCCGGAGCCAGCCCGTGTGGCCCAAGGGCAAGAGGTCAGGAGTGGTGGGGCAGGAAGCCAGCAGGGCGCCAGGCCCCTTCAGGTCTCCTCCATCCCTCATCCCCTGCCGGATATTCTGACACAGCCACTCCCGTGGGTAGGGGGAGTCACAGAGATGGGCAAGAGAAGGGCGAGCGCTAGGTCTACACCCCGACGGCAGAAGTCTGAGGACCCCCTCTCTGTGGGGCACTGGAGATAGGCACTCTTATTATCCCCATTGCACAGAGTTCTATACACCCAGGGCCGTAGCAACCAGAGGAAGCCCCAGGCCAAGAGATGGAGGTGCCGGTGGAGGAGATGGGCGGAGCTCAACAGCATCCACCGGCCCTGGCGAGGGTGTGGGCATGCGCACCCTGACTGCGTGTTGTGGTAGGCAGTGCAGAAGGGGAAGCGGGGTTGCTGCGTGCTGAGTCCATACCATCTGCGAGACCCTGGGCTAAAAGCCCCTTGTCAACAAGCTCTCTCTCCTAATAACCCATGAGAAAAACTCCTACTAATTGCCCCCATTTCAGGGATGAGGAAACCGAGGCTCAGAATGATGGGTTTTTTTGCCCAAGTCACGCCCAGAGGGCAAATGGCAGAGCTGAAATTCAAATCCAGGTCAGTCTGACTCCAGGGAACGTACAAAGAGCACGTGGGGACATGCAAGATGCAGGAGGCAGGAGATGCTGCTGGAGACGGCCTTTCTTGCCATAGGGAGGGGCTGAAGATTTCTGAACCAGTAACACAATCGGGTTTGGGGTCTCAAGAGGTCCCTCAAGAGCTGTGGGGCGAGCAGAGGGGTTTGGGGCCAGACTGGAGGCAGAAAGGGCCATGAAAGGCTTTTGCATTTGTGGGTGCTTGGCATAGCCCATGCCTACCAGTGGTCCTGTGCTGCCTCCAGGTGGTAGCCCGGCAGAACTGCTTCCTTTGCCTTTCTAGCAAGTTCCCAAGTGATGCTGATGATCTGGAGCCCACACATTGAGAACCATAGGCTTAGGTGTTTTCAAGGCACCCTCTGGTCAAGCTGTCCTGCGGGGAGAAGGGGATTAAAGAGGATCCTGACCTTTAAGAACTGTGGCCTTAGGGACGCCTGGGTGGCTCAGTCGGTTAAGTGTCTGCCTTTGGCTCAGGTCATGATCTCAGGGTCCTGGGATCGAGCCACATTGGGCTCCCTGCTCCGCGGGGAACTTGCTTCTCCCTCTCCCTCTGCTCCTCCTCCATGCTTGTGCTATGTGTGTGTGTGTGTGTCTCAAATAAATAAATAAATCTTAAAAAAAAAAAAAAAAGACCTGTGACCTGAGATGGGAGACCCCAGAAGCAGGTGAAGAGGGCTTCTGAGAGTGCTGGGCTCAGAGAAGAGCTGGAACTCAAAGGATCCCACTCCTGGAGGAGGCAGGGACTTCAGGAAATCCATGAAATGGCTGCCTCGTCTTCCTATGTCCTCTTTAATGATAGAAAAACATTTTTTATCGCTGTTCTAAGCACTTTACATGTCCTAGTTCAATTAATGTTCACAAAGCTGTGAAGTAAATTCTCTCATTAGTCTCCTGTATGGGTTGAGTTGCAGCCCCCCAAAATTCATATTTGACGTCCTAACTGCCAAAACCTCACAGTGTGGCTGCATTTGGAGATATGTCTTTAAAGACGTAACTAAGTTAGAATGAGGTCATTTGAGTGGGCCCGAAGCCAATATAACTGGTATCCTTATAAGAGGAGGAAATTAGAATACGGTCACAGATGGAGGGAGGACCATCTACAAGCCAAGCCTGCCAAAACCTGATCTCAGACCCAGAACCGTGAGAAAATAAATTTCTGTCATCCGAGCCAACCAGCTTGTGATACTCTGTTATGGCAGCCCCTGCAGACTAATGCACTTTCATTGTACGGATAAGGAAACTGAGGCACACCAAGGTTAATTAATGTGCCAACAGCTACCTGAGCCCAAGCAGTCTGGCTCCCAGGCATGTTCCCTTCTTTCCGAGCCACGAGGCACTATACTCCCTTGCCCTCATCCCCTCCCCCAACTAGAGTGGACATTTTTGCAACTCTCATTGGACTATTAAGATTGTCACCTAACACCCATCTCCTTGCCATGCTCCTCCCACTTCCATCCCTTCTTCCCCACTGTAGCATACCGGCTCCCTTCACCCCAGGGATTTTTCTCTGGCCCAAATCAATACTGTCCCTGCTCTGTCTAAAGCCCGCGATGGCTCCCCATGCCTTTGGGAAGCAGCTTTTCAAAGCCAGTTGCAGCCATCATGACACACCACCCCGCAATACTTCAACACCTGTTGTCTCCCCTGAGAGGCAGGATGGACCCCAACAACTGGCATGCCAGGTGGGTGTTTGGGGGATGACCACAACTACTGGAGGTCTCTCTTTTCTCTTGCTTTGGCTTATTAAATGGTTTGGCTCCCTGCTTGTGTTTTGAGTTGTGCTGCTTTGTCCTGCATTTGCTGAGCCCTACTGAGCATCAATAATAGACTTTTCCAGCCAACGTTGGAATTTTCAATAGTTGGCATTTAGGAACAGGAGTGTTATATAGGAGCCCTCCTTAATGTGGCATGGACCTACCTATATGTCTCATTGCATCGTGTTTCAATTTCAGCATAAGCCATGACTGATGCCAGGCTCAGAGGAACGAACGACTCTTACTCGGTGACCATCGGGTGTGTGACTGATGCCCCCACGTGGCGGGAAGCAGTCATCGTGGGGCCTGCTGAGGTTCACACTTCTAAAAAGCGGATGGCTCCACTGAACACTATGAGCCTTAAAGGGAGAAGACACCATGGCCCCCCCCATGGTACAGACCCAAGCTGTTCCTTCAAAACACATGCTTTACCTCCTTCTTCACCTAACATAGCCCTGCCACCTTGGAACTCAGCTACAATGCCCTTTTTTTTTAAGATTTTATTTATTTGAGAGAGAGAGAACACAAGCAGGGGGAGGGGCAGAGGGAGAAGGAGAAGCAGGCTCCCCGATGAGCAGGGAGCCCGATGCAGGGCTCAGTCCCAGGACCCTGAGCCAAAGGTAAACGCTCAACCGACTGAGCCACCCAGGCGCCCCCACAATGCCCTTCTTAATATGACTTCTTTCGCCCAGCATAATTATTCTGAGACTCATCTATGTTGTTGCAGGTATCAATAATTTACTTTTATTCCTAGGCAGTGTTTCCTTGTATACCTTAATTTGTTTACCCATTCATCTGTTGATGAATATTTGGGTTGTTTACAATTTTTGACTATTACAAATTTGCTATGAACCTTCACATACAGTCTTTGTATGAATATTTTCTTTCTCTCGGGTAAATGAAATGGCTTGGTCGTATGATAGGTGTATGTTTTACTTTTTAAGGAATGCCAAACTCTTTTTCAAAATGATTGTACCCACTGGGTATTATGAACAAACAATGAATCATGGAACACTACATCAAAAACAAATGATGTAATATATGGTGATTAACATAACAATAAAAAATTTTAAAAAAATGATTGTACCACTTTCATTCCCAACAGTTACTGAGTGAGAGTTCCAGTTGACCTTCACCCTCCACGACACTTGTTGTGGTCTTTCTCTATTTCATTTATTCTAGTAGGTGTGTAGTAAGATTTCACCGTGGTTTAATTTACATTTCCCTAATGACTAGGTTGAATGTCGAACATCTTTTTGTGCATTTATTTGTTATCTGTATCCCTTCTTTGGTGAAGTGTCAGTTCAAATCTTTTCCCATATTTTGTTGAATTGTTGGTTTTCTTATTATTGACTTTTAAGAGTTCTTTATATAGTCTGAATACAAGTGGTGTATTTGATGATCTACACATACACTGGCCAATATTGCAGAGCCTAGCCACTGGCAGCTATTGGGCACTTGAAATGTGGCTCGTCTGAATTGGGAATTGTTATAAGTATAAAATGTACGGCAGATTTTGAAGATTTAGTGCCCCCAAATTGTAAAATATCTCATTAATTTGTATATTGATTTCATGTCACAGTAATAATGTTTTGAATAGCTTGGGTTAAATAAAATATATTATCACAAGTGATTTCATCTCTTTATGTTTTTAATGCGGCTACAAGAAGACTTAGAATTATACAAATGACTCATACTTCTGTAGTATAGCACTTCGAACCAATTATGACAATATTATTCTGTATTAGGGTTCTCCATGGAAATAGAACCAATAGGATTGATTGATTGATTACTTATAAGGAATTGGCTCATGTGATTATGGAAGAAAGCAAGTCCCAAGTACTACAGGGTGAGTCAGCAAGCTGGAGATCCAAGAGAGCCAGTGGTTTTGTTCTAGTCCAAATCCAAAGGCCTGATAACCAGGATTGTGCTGGTGTGGTTCCCATCCAAAGGCTGGCAGGATCCAGACCCAAGAAGAGCTGATGTCTCGGTTCAAACCTGAAAGCAGGAAAAAGTCAACGTCCCAGTTGGAAAGCAGTCAGCTAGGAAGAACTCTCTCTTACTCGGGAGAGAGTTAGCCTTTCTGTTCTATTCAGATCTTCAACGGAATGAAACCTACACTAGGGAGGGCAATGTGTTCCACTGAGTCAATGCAATTATTTTTTTCTCTTTTTTTATTTTTTTTCTATTTCAACCAATTTAAATGTTAATTTCATCAAAAGAAAAAAAAAAAAAACCCTCACAGAAGCACCTAGAATAATATTTGACCAAAATATCTGGGCACCCCATGGCCCAGTCAAGTTGACACATAAAGTTAAGCATCAGATGATCTATTTTCCAGCCTCCCTTGAAGCTAGAACCAGTGACCCAGTTATGCGTAATGAGATGTGAAGGGAAATCTACTCAGGGAGTCCTAGGAAAACTTTCCCTCCCATAGAAGGAGACATGATTAGCACCTTCTTTGCGTCTCCCCAGCTTCTATGTAGATATGTAGATGTGATGCCTACATCTGGAGTAGCCATCTGGTAACAAATGAGGAGAGAAACATCAGTGTACTAAGGATAATGAAGCAGAAATATGGAAAGAGCCTGGGGGCCCAGTGGTATTTTTGGTCACTAAAACAATACCAGCAATCGGCTTGCCTTTGGATTTCTTCTTAGGTGGTTAAAATAAACCCCTATTTATTAAGTTCACCGTCATATTTTGTTGTTGTTACTTGTAGCCAAACATATTCCTAACTGGTGTTAGAAGAATAGTAGGCACTATTTTAGGCATTAGGTATTACAACAGTAAATAATGCCCTTGGGGTGGGAAGACTCATTTTATTTACTTATTTTTTTTAAGATTTTATTTATTCATTTGAGACACAGAGATATAGACAGAAAGAGAGAGCACAAGCAGGGGGAGGGGGAGAGGCAGAGGCAGAGGCAGAGGGAGAAGCAGGCTTCCCGCTGAGCCAGGAGCCCGATGTGGGACTCGATCCCAGGACCCTGGGATCATGACCTGAGCTGAAGGCAGATGCTCAACCATCTGAGCCAGCCGGGTGCCCCTTATTTATTTATTTTAAAGATTTTATTTCTTTGAGAGAGAGAGAGAGAGAGCGAGATAGAGAGAGTACGAGCAGAGGGAGAAGCAGACTCCCTGCTGAGCAGGGAGCCTGATATAGAGCACAATCCCAGAACCCTGAGATCATGCCCTGAGCCCAAGGTAGATGCTTAACTGATTGAGCCATGCAGGCAGCCCAGGAAGACTCATTTTAAAGGGGGGGGGGGGGAAGAGTCAACATGTAAACAAGATAATGTAAGACTATCCATGTCTTACATTAATGTAAAACCAAGATAATGTGGTAATTACTATGAAGGAAATAAATAAATAGAGGGAAACTGGGTATAGCTCCTTTGTGATATGATAGTAAAACTAAGCTATAAAGAACTGAAAAGGAGCTGCCCCCCCACACACACACACGTGAGAAAAGGATTTTCCAGGCAGAGGGAATAGCAGGTGAAAACACTCTGAGAAGGGAAAGAGCTGGTGAAGGAACTGAAGGAAGGCGTGGGACCAGAGGAAGGAATGAAGAGAGTATAAGGGTGAGGCTGGAGAAAGAGGCAAGCTCCAGATCCTGAAGGGTTTGAGGGGGCCACAGAACATAATTGGGACTTTAGGTGCAACGGGAAAGTCTTGAAGGCTTTTGTGTCATACCCACATGGTGTTAAGAGAATTCTAGTTGCAATGTGCAATGTGGAAGCTGGAAGACCAGTAGGAAGAGGTTGCAGTACACGGAAGAAATAAAATAGATAATCACATAGAAAGTTACATAGCTAAGACGGGACATATGATGGAAATTCATAGGCAACAAGATCAGTGTGGTTTGAGACACCAAAGCTCTCTCAAATCTGTCATTACACTGGGATGCCTAGGTGGCTCAGTCAGTTAAGCTCACTCTTGATTTCAGCTCAGGTCATGATCTCAGGGTGGTGAGATCCAGCCGGAGGGGCTCCACACTCAGCGGGGAGTCTGCTTGAAGATTCTCTCCTTCTGCCCCTCCCCCCATTCATGCACATGTGCTCCCTCTCTAAAATAAATCAATCTTTAAAAAAAAAAAATCTTTACCTAAATCCACCAACGACCTCAGATACAGGAGCTGGTCTGATTCTCTCCACTTTTCATAAGAAGAATCTGTGACCCAAAGAGGGGATACCTGGCTCAAAGCCACAGAAATCACTCACAGAAACAACCAGCTCCCTACCACCCACTTCCATGCCTGGCCCTCATGAACCCCAAGGTTTTCTGAGCCAAATTACTATGCATTCCCCCAATAAACCCACCAAGTCCTTTGCTGGGAAAACTACCCTCAACTTTGCCAGCTACAAGTGTTTACCCAACCCCAAACCCAGCTCTCCTCGGTCCCAATGTTCCACTTTTAGAAAAACAAGTAGGCGGGGGGGGGGGGGGGGGGGGGGGGGACACGGGACCGGACGATTTGGGAGTCACCAAAGTTCTCACCAGATCCACGAGGGGGCAAAAGAGAGCCAACGGACCGGCTGCCAACCTTTCTTTGGCTCCCAACCCGGGGAGGAAGCGGAATACGGAGAGGCGAGGAGGCCCAACTCTGGGCTGGGCTAGGTAGGCAGGGGCCGAGGGAAGGGGAGGCCCCAGGAGTCCGTCAACTGCTCCCCTTGCCCTCTTATCCACGGTGGGAAGGACCTCTGTCACCCCCAATGCTAGGCAGAGCGCGGTTTGGGCTGGAGTGAGTCTAGGCTCGGCGGTTAAGACTCACCTGGAGAAGGGGCGGGGCTTGTACGTCTCAGTCAGCCATTGGCTGCGGGCTGCTGGGGGTGGGGACACAGCCTACTAAGCGCTGGGCTCCGTTTGCGCTAATTCTCTAGGGAAGAAGGCCGCGGTGACCCAGCAGCTGCGGGGCTGCACCAGCCTGTAAAGGGATCTGGGGGAGGTACCAACAAGCGGCCACTTAAGTCCCCTCTCCGGTTTACTCCTGTCCCCTTTCAGCCTCTCTCGCTCTTTCCAGGGTAGGAACAGGGGAGCCTATCCTCCTGCGGACCCAGACACTGGGAGAGAGTTTTCATAGAGGCTGGACAAAGTCTGTGAGATTCTAATGGGTCCTGAGGCCCGGCCTCCCGCAATGGATCCTCTTGCCAAGCCCAGGGGAATCTCTCTTGCACAACATTTGCCCGTCTCCTATTTCCTGCCTGCCTACAGAGGGATTAGGTCATACTTTTAGCTTTTGACCTATTTCTTTTTCTGCAGAGGACCAGGCTAACTTTTCCCTCTTTATGCCTTTGGGGGGGGAGGGGGGAAGTCCCATCCTCACCACTTTATCAGTTAAACCAAAGGGGGTTTGTGACCCAACTAAAAAAATGCTTATTACAGCAGGAATACCGCATACCAGCTAAGATACCC